CTCATTAAACTTAGACCAGTCATCCATATATTCATACGGGTAGATACCCTTTACGTAGCAGCAAAGCACGAGGTTTCCTCTTCGGTGTAACGATTTAGTTACAGCTAGAAGTCGTTCGGGATACTAGCCCTTGACCAAAGCTGTCTAGAGAACGACAAGCAGAAACTAAACACTATCTATGAATCAACCCATTTAGCGAAAAGGATATATATCTTTCCATATTGTTTGGGATACAGGATATGTTGCCTTTACCTTTGAAATAGCTTGTATAATCATGAAGTCATACCGCCAAGGAAGATGTGTGAAACACCACTGGTATATAAGAATAAGTTTATGATTTATTCTTAACTTCTGTCATTACATTCATTGTGAGCTGCACCTGTATTTTACCAGTAATGTGTGACAGTGATCTCTAACTTCAGACTACCATTCAGATGTTTACAGCACACATGACAATGTGTTGCTTTTTGTTGTCAGGCTTCCTGGTCTGCTTGAGTCATACGCATTATTGTTTTGTTGCCATGGATTTTAATAATCATTTTTCTCTTCATGTTGTAAACACTTTAGAAATTCTTCAGCCGCGTCTGGTCTCTATATAAATAACGGGAGGGTTAGTTTAACCATCACAACGAACGATACATACGAATTGCAACCGTTGCTCTTGTACTTTTGTGTGAAACTTTGAAGTTAGTGGATTGAGCTACTGTATCGATTGGTTTAATGATAAACTAGAAAGTCGCAGATAATATATGGTACTGGCATTTTGATTTTTTGTGGTTGATACATTTCAAGATGTTGTTTTCTCTTGGCATGTCTCTTCATTGCGGCTGTCTCCCCTACACCTAGGCAATCAACCCTGTGCGAATCTGGCAGATCAGCCCTAGAAAACCCGTGAAGGCACCTTTCACAAAGTGTTTCTTCTCCCTGTGTTTCGATTGATTGTACAACAGTCATGCTTTGAAATTCTTTATCCATGTGTAGTGATATTTTTCACCTTGTTTGGATCATAAGTGTACTGATCATTTTACGACAATCCTTATACAATAGAGGGACTTATCCTTGTATTGTACTATTACGTTTTTACCTTACGTGTCCGAAAACGATTGTGTGGCTAAGAATCTTGATTCTATTTATTTCCTATTTTTTTGGACCTGAGAGAGATCAGGGTGGGTTCATCTATACCTTCCCAATTAGGCCCACGTCATCTTCCTGGGTAACTGGAGAGTCCTATGAGGAATGTTTTCAACTGGAAATTTAGCTTAGATCTTATAGCTATCCCTCCATACAAATTGTTTGCCTCAGGTTTCTAACGGTAACCATAAGCTTGTTTTCTTGAAAATATGCTCAGACAGTGAAGTAGAATTACGATCCACCTTTCAACGGTATATAGTTTACGCTATATCAGGTAGACCATGTTAATCTTGTCCAACAACCTGAGCAAGAACCCATATTGGTGCTTAACGTTCCTAGTTTGTCTCGCATTTTTTTCTAATGATGTGTCTATAGAAAGGGAGTTGATAATGTCTGGTTGGGTTGTAACTTCTTAATTACGTCTGAAGTAAACATTGGGTTGATGTATTCAGTTGTTTTTATTCGACTATTGTTTCTCTAGTGTCATGTTTAGCGTGAGTTTGAAATTTAGTATTACCTCTTAAATCTTTCAGATCTTCGTTTACTTTGTCAAGTACCAATGGTTTTATGTCTTCAACGTCTTTATTTCTTTTGAACTTCCATCTTCCAACCTCTATGGATGTACCTACAACAGCCCTCGGTTGTAGTGGAATTGCGATTCTACTTCGGTTTTGTTCTTTCGGTAAATTCAATTTAACTTAGATTTCCTGATACAAGTGAATAACATAAATTTCCACGTTCATGGAGCTTGCTTCGTTGGATTTCTTGCAGTAAGTGTTTTGATGCTTAAAACCTAATAAATCTACTAATTCATGTTTCTCCTTACACGAGGAATAACCTCGAAGTCCCACCGGTCTCGTGCTTGCTTTTCAATTCATGTACTGTAAACATATCCATTTAAGTTACAAACACAGTGTTGATATTATATGTGAAAACAATTCTCCTAAATAGACAAACATCCTTCATGTTAAACATCAGATGATGTAATAGATATGGGATTATTAATCTAACCCGTAACATACACCCCTTTCATACATCGAGGGACTTGATACCATTTTGCTTCATGAAATGTGACACTCTCATGGTTAAGAAAAGACATAAATACAGTCTTCCTCTGGAAAACTATTTTACAAGGTAGATAAAAGGGTTATAGGTTTACAAATTAATGGGACACTTATTGATTCCGTACCCGTACCCCATAGTCTTCCTCTTTGAAGTAAGACTATAGCTACTTTACAGGTGAGGGTGAAAAATGGTTATGTTATGGAATAGATACTTATTGATTACTTGCCTTATATAGGATGACCCCATACACCATAGTCTTACTCTTTCGAGTAAGACTATGGATACTACAGGGAGATAAAAGTATTTGTGTTATGGGTTTATGGTCCGTACCACATAGTCTTTCGAGTAAGACTATGGTTTTACTTTACAGGGAGATGAAAAATATAGTTGTGTTATGGATTTACTAAATTAATATGAGTTAAAGGAAGAGATCCTTATTGATTCCTTGCCTTATATAGGCTGGTCCCGTACCCCATTGTTTATATTACTGACGTCAGCATACAGAGAATTGCCATGCAGGAAATTGATCAATCAATCAACAAATATTCCCGAAAATACACAGGATGTAAATTCTGTTTTAATCAACAGGTGATATTTTTGTCATGTAATATTTGATTGTATGTGGAGGGAGTTTGATTTGATTAAGGCAGCACCAAAGTACCAGAAAAAATAGGGAGTTGGATGGCAGAGATGAAGATAAAACTGTATTGTCCCACAAGGAGATTTGTCTTGCATTCAAAAGAGCCAATACAAGCTTATAAGAACAAATAATTTAAAGTGTGTATTACCCTATATATATGATGTGTCAAGCTTATCAGACTATAATGATGAATCATAACATAATCAAAGTACATGATGTAATAATCACTCGTGCCTCATCATCATGGATTTCACTATTACAATTTTGAGGGAAGATTTCGAAGTTTCATACTGTATGGGACAAAATGATTTTGAAGTTCTATTAGTTTTGTAATACATGATTTTTTGCAACGGCGGTAGAAGGCAGAAATTCATAACATTCATTTTAACAAAGTGTGATGGATCCGACTGAATGGCCAGGATGTTTCTTCTTGACTTTTGACTCATACTTTGAAAGGGGTTTAGAGTTCGAAATTGAAGCCACAACTATGCAGATATGTTTAGCTCTTTGTCAAGTTTGTTTTCTGGTAAGCATTGAGATTGCCGCCGGGCATGAAAGCAGAAAGTTAAAATACTATTAATGGATGTTTGGTATAGTAATTTTAAGATATAAGTGCCTCTTTAAATGATGGCGAAATTTTCGCTTGAAAAGAAAGCCTCTGTTGTGCTTTCCTATGTACACGATGTGAATTTGATTTCCATGAAAGGTTTACTATCAATGATAGATACAGAGATATTTATACTCTTCTACTGTTTCTACTTCCTGTCCATCCATACAAACAGGTTCCAATGTGCTTTGTTTTTAGCTTCGGAAGTCAATTATCATTTCCTTTTTATTTTGTTTATGTTCAGGAGAGAAATTGTCTTTGCATCATGGAAGTAAACGCATCAATATTTTTCCCTATACTCTTACTCCGATTATTGAATCCTCAAACCCAACAAAGCGGCATCATAAGCAAAATTTGTTTGTCTATCTATCTATCTGTCTGTCTGTCTGTCTGTCTATCTATAATATAACGACTACTCACTTTCTTAGTAGTTGGCCTATATTATATCCTTTATGAAATACATTATGAATACATAGAGAGTGATGACACAACATGGATGATCAACTTCTTTATTTCAACAGTGGCGACGTTTCGGTAGAACCTATACCATCTCTAAGTCCCAGCTGATCATAACAACCACAGAACGCATTTCTTCTTTATGTCTTGGTGCGTGTGTGTGAGAGAGTAATATGGGGGAATGGTGGAGAATCGGGTTCTGAGAACATGGGGGAGAGGGCAGATTATTGTCAGGTAGGGAGATGCCTACTTCCTACACACGGATAAAATGTAGGACCTTGTACACATGGAGGCGTTTCTGCTTGTAGATGATGATGGTGGGAGAGTTCACAGTTAAGACACTGATTAGAAGTGGAAAAGGGAGGATGTTTAAAGATTTTTTAATTTTCAACAATAACTGGGAGCTGAACAGTAGAATGGAAAGACGGTCAAAGACCGACGGATGAACAGGGACACAGAACAGTGGGGATGTAACACCCAGTAGACCGCCAAGAACAGACAGTGATGGAGACACGTCATCAGACGTTGAACATGGAACCTGTAGGTATTGCCGGGGGCATTACAGAGCTCGGTGAAGAGGCCGGCATGGAGGTGCGAGAAACAGGGATGTTGATGAAGAGAGTGGCGGATCTGGTGATGACACAGACAGGGAAGAAGGGGATGGGATACAAGACATGTCACAACTTGGGGCGGAGGGCGCTGGCAGCGGTCAAATTCAGACTGGTTCGTCAGCAGTCATATCAGCTAGTAGGTAGGGGTATGTGTGTCTTAAGGAAGGCATTGGCGGCAATCTGACACTTTCTTGATGCAACACCAGTCACGCCTAAATGAACGTTACTAGTGATGGTATGATAGGACTTCTTTCCATTATAATCCTGTGTATTATGCTGGCATGGATCCCGTTGAACCTGAAGGCTGAGTGTCGCTTCCAATGTTGCTGTACACATTTTACACACGTTACACTATAAACCTACTGACAGTTATCCCTGCTATGTTGTACCATAACATTGCAGCAACATTCTGAGAATATCTATTTACAACTGACATTTGCTTGCTGAGAAGAGGTTAGACGTGCTAGGTTTGAATTGTAAGCCGGGTTCTGCCGATGTTGGCAAGGAGTTGTATAGCAATCGTGAATGCGCATTTTGATAAAGATCATCGGTGTACTGTCGGCGGTAGGAATTGTGTCAAACGTAAACTACCGCTGTGTCCTGTCGAACCATTGTTATTTTACCCGCTGTAAGCCGTTATGTTATTTACGTACAATTCAGGTGAGTTATAGACATCCGTGGCTCTATTTAGTTGGCCACTTAGGTTTTGAAAGCCCTGTGGTAACAGGAAATACAGTCAGAAATATGAACAGCCATGAATATGAATACCCATATGAGGAACAAGTTTATAAACACGCCACTAGGTTTAGCCAAGCAAAACGAAACAAGGAATATTTGATGAAATTATACACAAAATTGGTTACCTGTTGCTCTACTGTGGTGAGGTGCTGAGTGGTGGTGGGTGGTGGTGAAAACCAGATTGCCTGACTGAACGTTACAATCATGATTAAGACAAACTTAAAACTATATAGTGTGTGCATTATGCCATTTTAACAATGTCAGTATTCATATGTCATTGTTCGTGTTATGTTATTGGACTGTCTGTTTCGTAGATACCAAGTCACTAGTACAACACATGTTGGGATGTTGTCAGCCAGCACAGGGAGATATAACATCAGCACCACCAGCAACAACAGCAACTCCAACCAGGGTCAGGTGGTGATGGTGATGGTGATGGTGATGGTGATGGTGATGGTGATGATGATGGAAGAACAGATCAGGCACACCTGTCCACAAGTACAACTTGTGTAGTTCCGAAAACAAGTCCACAGGTCCTGGGAACATCAGCCCTGACACCACCGTCAACATCGTCTCTTCTGCCCCAAATACCAGGATCACTTGTATCACAGAAACAGTCCTCGGGGCTGCCTGAAGTACCAATGACTGGGGACTCTACTGGAGGTGGGTGGGTTTACCTGATATTGTTGACCTCTTTAAGATAAACTATCATCTTATCTCACCAACCATTAGAATCCTACTTCTCAGCAGATAAGATCCCATATCACTAACATTTACCAATACCTCACGTTTTTGTCTATTCCCAGTATCTCCTACTTTTAGGTATAGCATATGTCTAGCTTTGAAGCTGTGGTATCAATGTCGCCAGTGTTTGGCAGAGTGTCAATAAACATACACAGCCTCCATGGAAGCTTGTTTGACCTCAGCACAAGTCTTTGTCAAGCTGTGTTCAGTGATATCGAAGCAATTTATGAACAAACGTAACTTGGCAGTCGCCTTTCAAAAATATATGTTGAAGTTATCTCTGTTTTCAGAATCACTAGTGTTATTGGAGTTCAAATATGGAACAAATCTGTAAAACCTTCAGTCATATGGCTTCTGTTACAGCAGTTTTGTACCCGTGAATGTCCGGGTTAGAATATTGGCCTTCAGTAACCCATGCTTGTCGTAAGAGGCGACCAACGGGATCGGGTGGTCAGGCTCACTGACTTGGTTGACACCTGTAATCGGTTCCCAATTGTGCAGATCATTGCTCATGCTGTTGATCACTGGATTGTCTAGTCCAGACTCGATTATTAACAGACCGCCGCCATATAGCTTGAATATTGCTGAGTGCGGCGTAAAACTAAACTCACTCACTCACTACAGCAGTTTTCGAGACGTGACGGTAAATATGTGAATGTCAAATTTCATGCAAAGTGCTTTTACTTAGGGTTATTCTTAAATAATTTAACTTTTCAAATAATTTTTTATCTAATGCAATTTTTTACTGCAGTTAAAGTTTCGGTTGGTATATTGAACCTTCACTTATGTGACTTCTGTTGCAGTCAAACAGTGCAACTTTTCAAACTAGTGTTTTTGTCTTGCAGATGTTATAACCTGTTTTCAGAATCACTAGTAGAAACTAAGTTCAAATATGGAACATATCTATGTAAGATTCAGTCATGTGGTTTCTGTTACAGTCACGCAGTACAACCTTATACAAGTACGGCAGGACTTTGGTGATGTGACAGTGAAGGGGGGCAAGAATCTGAACATTGGCGGAACTCAGAATGTCGGTACAACTCCGACCAACAAAGAAGAAGAAGAGAAACCACTGACTGCAGCACAGAAGATCAGGAGTGAGTTATTTGACAAACTTGTTTTCACAATAATTGTCCATATGGTGGCAATGTACAAACCGGACTGATATAATCTGAGTACACACCTGTAAAGGAAGTACAATATTAGATATGCTAAAGTCCATTCAAAAGATTTAACTCGGAAGATCCGGGTCTTCAGCAAACCCATGCTTGTCTCACCCGTGAAGATCTGGGTTAGAACTGGTCTTCAGTAACCCATGCTTGTCTCCCCCGTGAAGATCCGTGTTAGACCTGTTCTTCAGTAACCCATGCTTGTCTCCCCCGTGAAGATCCGTGTTAGACCTGTTCTTCAGCAACCCATGCTTGTCTCACCCATGAAAATCTGGGTTAGAACTGGTCTTCAGCAACCCATGCTTGTCTCCCCCGTGAAGATCCGGGTTAGAACTGGTCTTCAGCAACCCATGCCTGTCTCACCCATGAAGATGTGGGTTTGAACTGGTCTTCAGCAACCCATGCCTGTCTCACCCGTGAAGATCTGGGTTAGAACTGGTCTTCAGTAACCCATGCTTGTCTCACCCATGAAGATCCGTGTTAGAACTGGTCTTCAGCAACCCATGCTTGTCTCACCCATGAAGATCCGGGTTAGAACTGGTCTTCAGTAACCCGTGCTTGTTTCCCCCGTGAAGATCTGGGTTAGAACTGGTCTTCAGCAACCCATGCTTGTCTCACCCATGAAGATCCGTGTTAGAACTGGTCTTCAGCAACCCATGCTTGTCTCACCTGTGAAGATCTTGGTTAGAACTGGTCTTCAGCAACCCATGCTTGTCTCCCCGTGAACATCCGGGTTAGAACTGGTCTTCAACAACCCATGCTTGTCTCCCCGTGAAGATCTGAGTTAGAACTGGTCTTCAGCAACCCGCGCTTGTCTTAAATGGCGACTGATGAGATGGTCAGGCTCGCCAACATGGTTGATGAATGTCATGGCCTCCCACTATTTTAGATGAATACTTCTGATATCACTCATAGCGTTGTTCTGCTAAGTCACGCACGCACGCACTCACTCACTCACTTATATAGTATATAATTGCGTTACTCCTAAGTATACTTTCTTATCTTAAATGCATCTCATATATTCACCTGAACAGTTTCACATCAAACTTAACAGTAAAAGAGTTATTTCAGTGAGCCCTTTAGAATTAAAGTGTGCAAACTGGATTAACACTTGCCAGTGTAAAAAGAGGTATGATGTTTAAAATATATTCAGTTACTAAAACGGGCAGAAAAGGTTTTACTCCTCAACATTATTCAGAAAACATCAACCTGATCAAACAATAGCCTGTCTGTGTGGAAGTGTGTAGGAAACAGTATCTGGTTCAGTTCATCCTCATCGTTTCACATCTTAGTGACAAGATGAATAGATTCAAAGGTCAACAGTTCTGAGTAAGACAAATGTCCAAAGTTGGTAATGATCAAAGTCAATAAGAACAGCGCACCTGGCATATGCAAATTTGTCACAGCACAAGAGGGGTACAGAAGCAGCATGTTTACAATGTCTGTAGCGAGTGTGTCCACCTTGTGCATTGATGCAGGCCTTGTACTATTGCCTCACTGGAGATCACTCAACGTCCATGAGAGTCATTCCGAGAAGGTGTTGCCTGGACGATTCGTATGGCGCTGTGAACGTCGCTCCATTTCATCCCAGGCGTGTTCAGTGGGGAACAAATTAGTGGATCTTGCTGGACAACATTTTAACACTGCTCTGATTAGGACACTGCTAGACAACTCAAGCAGCATGTTTAACTGGTCATCAGTCTGTTCACCTTGCACGGAGGCCATAGGCACGTTATTCTCACTAAACTGTTATCACAGATGCTCTTCTATTGCTGGGTATCGGTACAAACTAAAATGGTTGCTGGCTGGGTCCCGTGTCGGACGTGCACGGTTCAACGTCATCAGTCTTGACATGGGGGCGGCTTTTACGGGGGCAGTCTACAGCTTGATTGTTTTGCTGAAAATATCGCCATAATATAGCAAATGGTATTTCGTTGAATAGACGAGCAACGTCACGCTGCTCTATCTATTACTCTCCATCTGTCACTGTCCCCGAGGCGTGACTTTGTTGATATTCTTAATTTGATGGGTGATCTGAGTGATTATTGGACACGTCTTGTTACTGGCATTGCCTAGCACAACATCGGATTTGTGTTTATTCTTTATGCAATCTTTACATCTTCTGCTATTTCAACAGATGCCCGAAATTTGGGTAATGTCTTTTTAAGAGCCTTAACACAATTTCAGTAACTTTTGTATAGGGCAGTGGGGTAGCCTAGTGATTAAAACATATGCTTGTCCTGCCGAAGACACGGGTTCGATTCCCTTTTCTGGAGTAAGATGTTTAAATCTTAAGTTTGTTAACTGTTGCAAATATTTCATTCAGAATTGTTTTAAATCTGCCTTGTGTCCACAGAGAGGACGGCATCCAGAATACAGTCATGGACAAAAGACACAGTGGAGACAGACGCCCTCAAGAAAGTGAAAGAGAAGCTGGACAGAGGAGCGACATGGGTGACAATTAAAGGAAGACCAGGAGAGGGGAAGTCCACAACAGCCTACATGGCTCTCAAAAACCTAGATAGTCAGGGGAGACAAGTATACCAAGTGGAGTCGCCAGACGAATACAGCGAGGTCATAATGGCCTGCAAGAACCCTGTAATTATGTTAGATGACATATTCGGTGATCTGGAATTCGATGCAGCTGAGTGGGCAAAGTGGAGACCACGTTTACGACCTATGGTGGATGTTAAACATCCTGACACATATGCAGAAAAAGATGTTTTGGGCATTTCTACCAAAAGTGAGAAGGTTTCAGAGATGAAAAAAGTTGATCAAACAGTGGTTAAACGAGAAACTATCATTATCCTCGTAGGTCGTGACTATGTGCTGAAATCCTCATTGGCAGACTTTCGGAAGGATGGCAGATTACATTTCCAGTCCCCAATATGTGGTGGAAGTTTCCTCACAGAGAGCCTCTTATGAGCGAAGGAAGATATGGCGTGTTCATGCTGAAGCAAAAAACATAGACATCGAAGAGTCAACTGTGTCTCGGATATGTGAGGCAGACTGTCCACACGGCTTCCCCCATGTCTGTAAAATGTTTGTCGCAGCATATGAAAAGGATTGGACTCACTTTCAAATGCAAATGTTTTTTGAAGCGCCACTGCATTTCCTCAGCAAAACTTTGAATAAACATTTGACAGATAAGATAAAGCGTTCACTGTTCATGGCTATGATTAAAAGAGATGGAAAGATTAGTGGACAAGAAATGGAGGAGGATGATAACTTCGGTTATGAATACATAGCAGCTGCTGATAATATGGTTGGATCTTACCTCAAGAAGGAAGATGACACCTACTTGTTTGATCATCCGTCTATATATGACAGTGTTTCCTTTATTCTCAGTACAAAACAACCAAAGTTTGTCATTGAAAATTGTAGTTTGTCCTTTATAAGTCAGCGACTTCGTCTTACGCCCTCCAGTAAAGAGAAAAAAGAGAAAAACGTTGCTGGTGAGACAGATCTTGTTGCAAACGTCTCATGGACTTATGCTAAACTTTTGGCCAGAAGATTTGCAAGTGAAATGCAACAGAGCAATTTGTTGCATGTTTTATCACACCAGTCACTTTGTTATTCGGACTTTGTCGACTTGCTAATGGACTGCCTGAAGACCCAGTTTCACATGCGTGCATCTGATATTGTGAAACTAACTGATAACTCATCAAACAAGTCATTTTGTGAATTACTTTCCAGCAACAAGTCACATCATCTCATCAAATATATGATGGAGACAGAAAATATCTCATTCACCCAGAGTGAAGGAAGGGACATTTTACTGGGTGTGTGCACGAATGCTGCATGCGGTATACTGAAATACATCAGTGGACGTATGAAACTTGAGGTAAATGCTACATACGGTTGGTTGAAAAACACGCCGCTTATGTTGGCAGCAGAAACCAGGGACAGTGAGTTTGTCAATCAGATCTTGTCTCTAGACCCCGACCTAAATGCAAGAGACATTCAAGGCCAAACTGTTTTTAGTTATCTTTGTGAATATGGCCTTACATCAGCTGTGAAGCATGCGATTAACAAGGGAGTGGAAGTTAATCAGTATCATGGATCTCTCCCCAGTGTGTACACTGTCATACAGAATGGTCACGTAGAGGTTGTAGAACTGTTGGTTAACAGAGGATGTTATATAGCTAACCAGCACGGTCTTACATATGCTGTATGTAGCCTGAACGCGAACATGGTACGTTATTTATTAGACAGAGGAGCAGTGGTTGACGGCAGTGCTGTTTGCAGAACTTGTGAGGTCGGGAACAGACATATAGTTGAGCTGCTGTTTGAGAAGGGTGCTACTGTTGATATGATGTCACCTGATGGAAGAACTCCTCTTATCAGTGCATGTGAAGGAAACCCAGCAGTTGTCTCTTATTTGCTGAAGAAAGGAGCAAGTGTCAACCAAGCTTCAAATGTTACAGGCAACACGCCACTTCATATAGCAACAGTACGGGGATCTGCAGACTGTGTTCATATGTTACTGAAGGCTGGAGCTGATGTTCATGTACAGAATAATACAGATGACACGCCACTTCATACAGCAGCAGAACGGGGATCTACAGAGTGTGTTGATTTGTTACTGAAGGCTGGAGCTGATGTTAATGTACAGAATAATACAGATGAAACGCCACTTCATGCAGCAGCAGAACGGGGATCTACAGAGTGTGTTGATTTGTTACTGAAGGCTGGAGCTGATGTTAATGTACAGAAAAATACAGATGACACGGCGCTTCATAGAGCAGCAAGACGGGGATCTACAGAGTGTGTTGATGTGTTAGTGAAGGCTGGAGCTGATGTTAATGTACAGAATAATACAGATGACACGCCACTTCATGCAGCAACAGAGTTTGAATCTACAGAGTGTGTTGATGTGTTAGTGAAGGCTGGAGCTGATGTTAATGTACAGAATAATGCAGGTGACACACCACTTCATACAGCAGCAGCAATATGGGAATCTACAGAGTGTGTTGATGTATTAGTGAAGGCTGGAGCTGATGTTAATGTACAGAATAATACAGGTATCACACCACTTCATATAGCAGCAGGACGGGGATCTACAGAGTGTGTTGATGTGTTACTGAAGGCTGGAGCCGATGTTAATGTACAGAATAATACAGGTGACACACCACTTCATACAGCAGCAGGACGGGGATCTACAGAGCGTGTTGATGTGTTAGTGAAGGCTGGAGCTGATGTTAATGTACAGAATAATACAGATGACACACCACTTCATATAACAGCAGCAATATGGGGATCTACAGAGTGTGTTGATGTGTTAGTAAAGGCTGGAGCTGATGTTAATGTACAGAATAATACAGGTGACACGCCACTTCATAGAGCAGCAACAGAGTTTGAATCTACAGAGTGTGTTGATGTGTTAGTGAAGGCTGGAGCTGATGTTAATGTACAGAATAATACAGGTGACACACCACTTCATACAGCAGCAGCAATATGGGAATCTACAGACTGTGTTGATGTATTAGTGAAGGCTGGAGCTGATGTTAATGTACTGAATAATACAGGTGACACACCACTTCATACAGCAGCAGCAATATGGGGATCTACAAAGCGTGTTGATGTGTTAGTGAAGGCTGGAGCTGATGTTAATGTACAGAATAACACAGGTGACACACCACTTCATATAGCAGCAGCAATATGGGGATCTACAGAGCGTGTTGATGTGTTAGTAAAGGCTGGAGCTGATGTTAATGTACAGAATAATACAGGTGACACACCACTTCATACAGCAGCAGCAATATGGGGATCTACAGAGCGTGTTGATGTGTTAGTGAAGCCTGGAGCTGATGTTAATGTACAGAATAATACAGGTGACACACCACTTCATACAGCAGCAAGACGGGGAACCATAAAGTTCGTTGCTGTGTTACTGAAGGCTGGAGCTGATGTTAATGTAGAGAATAATACAGGTAACACACCACTTCATACAGCAGCAAGACGTGGATCTACAAAGTTCGTTGCTGTGTTACTGAAGGCTGGAGCTGATGTTAATGTACAGAATAACACAGGTAACACACCATTTCATATAGCAGCAGGACTGGGATCTACACAGTGTGTTCATGTATTACTGAAGGCCGGAGCTGATGTTAATGTATAGAATAATACAGATGACACACCTCTTCATACAGCAGCAGGACGGGGATCTACAGAGTGTGTTGATGTGTTACTGCAGGCTGGAGCTGATGTTAATATACAAAATAATACAGGTGACACACCACTTCATATAGCAGCAATATGGGGATCTACAGAGTGTGTTGATGTGTTAGTGAAGGCTGGAGCTGATGTTAATGTACAGAATAATACAGGTGACACACCACTTCATACAGCAGCAATATGGCGATCTACAGAGTGTGTTGATGTGTTACTGAAGGCTGGAGCAGATGTTAATGTACTGGATCTGGTTGTATCATTGCCTCATTAACTAATGTCAATATTAATTTGTTTATGTTGTTTTACAGACAAAACGATGGCGTATTTAATCATTGGCCAGGTGCACGTTAAATTTGTCACAAATGTTTTTACTATCATTGTTTTCTATAATTCCATGAACAAAACATCACGAAAATATAATGTCTTTATCCACAACAAATTCTCCCCAAGTGATATAAGCTGTATACAATTACTCAGTGTTAAGCATAGCGGAGTGATGCCCCCTTACCTTTATAGGCGTATGACATTTTTGTAGTCATTTGACGTCATAGAGGAAAATCCATTTTCAACACAATAGCAAGTCATTTTGAAGATTGAGTGTATAACGTTATACATAAGCACACAAGCTAATTTCATGTATAGTTTTGTCGTTCAGATATGAGACAGTATTTTGTTCGTGTACACTTTCTGTAAAGATGACAAATTAAAAATATAGCAGCACAGTACTTTCATCAGTGCACGATATAAAATGTACTGTTTTTAACACATAACAAAACCTATAGCAGTGTCTATTTTTCTAACAGCCTAAGTATTTGCACTTGAGTTTACACTATGGGATAGACAATTTCATATTCTACATTTCTGTGTAATTTTTTTCCGGAGACATTGCGAATGACACTGTTGTCAGATTGTTGAACAAATTGTGTATTTAACAGTTTTCTAGGATGAAAACGGGAGGAAACTAGACAAATGTTTGTGTTTCAAAGGTGAAAAACTTTATATTGTATCAGCATGCAACTTCGTTGACCACTGTTCGATCAAGAACAAATACTTTAGCTTCAAAAGCTTTTTTGTTTGTGTTTGTATATACTATAAATCTGAATATAGAAATGGGGACCAAGTATTATTGGGTATGTTTAGTCTGTTCCATACTGTTTAATACAAACCAGAAGTTCTGTTGAATCATGATATCAATAACCCTTGATATCATGTTATATAACTTCGTGAAGCCAATCTTGTAGGTTTGCTTTATATCCTGGCTCCAACACTACATCTTCACGACAGTGTCAATGGTCATTTAATAAACTTTCAGGACAAAAAGGGGGGCACCCCACCTCTGAATCCGCCTATGCAGGACAACGTGGGCCGACAGTGTTCACCGTGTGCAGCAATTTTAGCCACCACAAAATTGCAGAATCTCTTCGAATTAGTTGAAAAGTTTAATAGAATGATTCTATTTAATTCAGTGAATCAGTTTTGACAGTTTTAGACTGTTTCGTTAAATCCGTCCTCTTGAGACCTTATTTGTTTGTGAAGACATAACTGCATAATGGTATGGCATACATATGGCATGGTATACGTTATGTCTCACTCGTGTGGTATAGCATACGCTATGTATCAAACGTGTGGTATGGCATACGCTATGTATCACCCGTGTGGTATGGCATACGTTATGTCTCACCCGTGTGGTATGGCATACGCTATATCTCACCCGTGTGGTATGGCATACGTTAAGTCTCACCCGTGTGGTATGGCATACGCTATATCTCACCCGTGTGGTATGGGATATGTTATGTCTCACCCATGGTTATGATATACGTTATATCTTACCAGTGTGTGGTATGGCAAACGTTATGTTTCACCCATGTGTGGTATGTCACACTATATAACTCACCGTGTCGTATCGCACACTATATGTCTCACCCGTGTGGTATGGCATCCATATGGTATGGTATACGTTATGTCTCACTCGTGTGGTATAGCATACGCTATGTATCAAACGTGTGGTATGGCATACGTTATGTATCACCCGTGTGGTATGGTATATGTTATGTCTCACCCATGGTTATGGTATACGTTATATCTTACCAGTGTGTGGTATGGCAAACGTTATGTTTCACCCATGTGTGGTATGGCACACTATATAACTCACCGTGTCGTATCGCACACTATATGTCTCACCCGTGTGGTATGGTTTACGTTATGTCTCACCGTGTGGTATGGGATATGTTATGTCTCACTCGTGTCGTATGGCATACGCTATGTATCAAACGTGTGGTATGGCATACGCTATGTATCACCCGTATGGTATGGCATACGTTATGTATCACCCGTGTGGTATGGCATACGTTATGTCTCACCCGTGTGGTATGGCATGCGCTATATCTCACCCGTGCGGTATGGCATACGTTATGTCTCACTCGTTCGGTATGGCATACGTTATATCTCACCCGTGTGGTATGGGATATGTGATGTCTCACCCATGGTTATGGTATACGTTATATCTTACCAGTGTGTTGTATGGCATACGTTGTGTATCACCTGCGTGGTATGGTATACGTTATGGATCATCCGTGTGGTATGGCATACGTTATGTCTCACCAATGTGGTATGGTTTACGTTATGTCTCACATGTGTGTTGTATTGCATACGTGATGTATCACCCGCGTGGTATGGTATACGTTATGTATCACCCGTGTGGTATGGTATACGTTATGTCTCTCCCGTGTGGTATGGCATACGCAATGTATGACCCGTGCGGTATGGCATACGCTATGTATCACCCGTGTGGTATGGCATACGTTATGTCTCACCCGTGTGGTATGGCATACGTTATGTATCACCCGTGTGGTATGGCATACGTTATGTATCACCCGTGTGTTATGGTATACGTCGTGTGATGTAACATAATATATTACATTCAATAGTGTGGTATAACATGATTTATAACTTTCAGTTGTGTGGTAAAACATGATATATTACAATTTACCATGCGGTATAACATGATATATTACATTCAATAGTGTGGTATAACATAATATATTACAATCTACCCTGTGGTATAACATAATATATTACATTCAATAGTGTGGTATAACATAATATATTACATTCAGTAGTGTGGTATAACATAATATATTACATTCAATAGTGTGGTATAACATGATTTATAACTTTCAGTTGTGTGGTAAAACATGATATATTACAATTTACCATGCGGTATAACATGATATATTACATTCAATAGTGTGGTATAACATAATATATTACAATCTACCCTGTGGTATAACATAATATATTACATTCAATAGTGTGGTATAACATAATATATTACATTCAGTAGTGTGGTATAACATGATATATTACAATCTACCGCGTGGTATAACACGATATATTACATTCAGTCGTGTGATATAACATAATATATTACATTCAATAGTGTGGTATAACATGATATATTTCATTCAATAGTGTGGTATAACATGATATATTGCATTCAGTCCTGTAGTGTAACGCGATATATTACATTCAGTCGTGTGGTATAACATGACATATTATACTCATTAGTGTGATATAACATGACATATTACATTCAGTCGTGTGACATAACATGATATATTACATTCAATAGTTTAACCTATGACATGATAGATTACATTCATTCGTGTGGTATATAGCATAGCATAGCATTGCATACTAACATTTGTATAGCGCCGATATCCAGCTCAGCTTAGCTGCTCGAAGGCGCTTCGTTTTTCCCTCGTTCACTGGATGTCAATCTCAATGGCACATCATATTGTCAATCTAAACTCCCTGGGGATCATACAACTCTTGCAGCCACTAGGCGTACCGAGTTATTGTGGCATTCCCATTTACAGCTGAGTGGACTCAGACACATAGTCACAGTACTTTGTCCAAGTTTACTGCACGTTGCTGTACCCACAACTAGGTGTTTGCACGTATTCGTGTGGCCACCATCTGGTCATATAGAGTCCTGTTCACTCTATACACCAATGACTGCACTAGCGTAGAAAATAACTGTATAAACGTGAAGTTTGCTGATGATGCATCCATTGTTGGTCAGATGTATGATTACGAATCAGAACGACGATACAGAGATAATGTACAGAATTTCACATCATGGTGTACAGAGAATCATTTGATTTTAAATGTGAAAAAAACAAAAGAACTGTGTATTGATTACAGAACTAACTCCCTAACAGTACCACCTTTGTTCATTAATGATGAACCAATTGATACAGTAACTGAATACAAGTACCTTGGAACTTGTATTGATAGCAGGTTAACGTGGAACACCAACACAGATACCCTGTATAGTAAATGTCAACAACGTCTCCATCTAATGCGCAAACTGCGACCTTTTAACATTTCCCGATCTGTTATGATGTTTTTTATACCAATTTTATTCAGAGTATACTCGCTTTTTCTTCTCAGTGCTGGTTCGAATCTCTTTCAGTCAAAAACAAATCAAACCTTAACAAAATTGTAAATTCAGCTAGTAAAATAGCCGGGGTCACTTTCGATAACCTTTCACCTCTCTATGAGCGGCAAGTATTTTCAACGTCTGAAAAAATCATTAATGACCCAACACATTTTTTAAATCAAGAGTATAAGCTTTTACCATCTGGCCGCCGCTACACAGTACCAGTCACCAAGACTAAACGAGCTCGAACGTCTTTTGTACCTCAAAGTATTGCAATTTTAAACAAATGTTGATTGTCCAGTTATCATCTTAAACATTTAATTATTTTTTAAGCACATACTTATCTCTTTTTTCATGTTTTTAGTAATTTCATATTTTATGTTGTTATTCATTTGTATTTTTCTCAAACTCTGTGATCCAAAACGAATTATTTTTAAGGTAATAAAGTATTGTCTTGTCTTGCCTTGTCTTGTATAACATGATATAGTACATTCAGTGCTGTGATATAACGTAACATACTCTATTCAAAGAAATGTAAAGCAAGAAACACTTTGCCCCAAGATGGGTTTGTAATTTCACAACTTTTCATTTCCATGACAACATGACAACTTATCAACAAGCTCAACCTCCCGTCCTACTACTCCGTAATGTCTGTTTGTTTCTGTGTTACAATGTGTCATAGGTGAATATATTTTTCATTTTTTGTAATGGACACTTCTTGAGCTCTAGCCTGCCTTCATGAACAGTGAGAGTATAAACTAGATAGGTATATGTCTGTTGTTTGTGACGTGAACACATGATGCTATGACGATTGATTGATTGTTGTTTAACGCCTCACTCATATTCCAGCTATATGGCGGTTGGTCTGTAAATAATCGAGTCTAGACCAGACAACCCAGTGATCAAAAGCATTAGCATCGTACTACACAACTGGGATACGATGACATGTGTCAACCATGTGAGCGATCCTGACCACCTGATCCCGTTAGTCGCCTCTTACGACAAGCATGGGTTACTAAAGACCAGTTCTAACCCGGATCTTCACGGGTAATGCTATGAAGAAGGAAATTGAGTCTCAGGTCTACCAAGGAAAACCAACAGAGAGCAAGCAAACTGTGGAATATGTACACACTTAAATAAGAGACAGCTTTACAAATTACAAACAAGACACGATCATCAGTATAATGTGTTAATCGGGATGATGTACTTGTTTGGTTTTTGGATGATGTACTTGTTTGGTTCCGGGATGATGTATTTATTTGGTTCTGGGATGATGTATTGGTTTGGTTTCTGGATGATCTACTTGTTTGGTTCTGATATGATGTACTTGTTTGGTTATGGGATGATGTATTTGTTTGGTTCCGGGATGGTGTACTTGTTTGGTTACGGGATGATGTACTTGTTTGGTTACGGGATGATGTATTTGTTTGGTTCTGGGTTGATGTACTTGTTTTGGTTCCGGGATGATGTACTTGTTTGGTTATGGGTTGATGTACTTGTTTGGTTACGGGATGATGTACTTGTTGGGTTACGGGATGATGTACTTGTTTGGTTCTGGGTTGATGTACTTGTTTGGTTTTGGGATGATGTACTTGTTTGGTTACGGGATGATGTACTTGTTTGGTTACGGGGTGATGTACTTGTTTGGTTCTGGGTTGATGTACTTGTTTTGGTTACGGGATGACGTAGTTGTTTGGTTATGGGTTGATGTACTTGTTTGGTTTCAGGATGATGTACTTGTTTGGTTATGGGATGATGTATTCGTTTGGTTTCTGGATGATCTACTTGTTTGGTTCTGATATGATGTACTTGTTTGGTTACCGGGTGATGTATTGGTTTGGTTCCACTGACAGTATACCCGGTTTACCTTACACTTCATGGGGATTGTGTTTTTGGTTGTGATTTTTGTTGTATGTTTAATTAACGTTTGTACATACTCCATAGTTTGGTTGCTCATGTTGGGTGTGTTGAAATCTGAGAGTGAGTGAGTGAGTGAATTGTTTCTAAGTGTATTTAACTGCATCCATTAACTGTATTTGTAAAAATCATATAATACAACTCACTCACTCGAAGACAGTATGTAATTGTACGTTTACGGTAATCATTGGCGTCCTACAATTTGAAACTGGTCAAAATAACGAAAAACAGAAAACCAACATTTTCTATGTTTTATTTCACACTAATGGAAAGCATAGAAATCTTGGTTATATACAATATCACAATATGGGTATATACCGGCAGTTTATTTCATTTACTTTATATTTTATATATTTTGTATCATATATTATTATCCAAAGGAAAGTACTGTCTTACAATATTTAAAGCAATCGTTTCCATTTGCCCAAATCTTTGAATAACCAATGTAAGCTAGCTGTGTGTTTCCAAACTCAAAATCTCCACATTTTACTACGCTACTACTCCATAATGTCATCTTTGTAAACAAACCCCAATAAACGAGAGTTGTAAGAACAAGTTGATCAACTGCTTGATGTGGATACACAATGGCACAATAAATATTCTGTAGCTGATGATATACAACTAGAATGATTCCAGCCTTCAAACCTTCGACTTGCTGCCATGGAAAAGCTAAATAATGAACTCTAAAAGCATTGAATGGAAAAAAGGCAATTTCAACATTTGCTGGTGTATACAGGAAGCGTCCCAACACCATGACGTGAACATAGCTAACGATACATTAAATGATCACCATTGTAAACGTCATGTCCTGTCTATAATTCTACAGTAGAAACATTAGATAGTTACAATACAATATTAAAAGTGACAAAGATTACTGACGATTATACTACTTTACGTATTGAAATTCACAAAAATGTTCATTTCAGATGAGGCTATTAGTCTTCAAAAGTGATTTAAGCGTACGTACAATATCTTCTTGAATATTTTTTAAAGTAATACCTTTATCATTATTGTAGTGAAACGATTTTTAGAAATTTACTTAAATCAAATGATTCAAACACTCTAAGAAGTCATTAGCAGCGCGTGTGATTGTCGCTATGTCAGATACAATTCATTATTAACACTTATACACAGTGTGTAGCTATTTTAAACGACGTTACCAAACAATTTATAGTAATTATATAACACTACACAATGCATACTGTCCACTCAGATAGACATAATCATACAGAATCATAAACGATTAAAGTGAATTGCCGATCACATGTTGCAAAATGGTTACGGTAGTTTTACCCGACAAAAACTAGACAAAAATCACACAATTGGGACTACATCTGTGAACTTTAAATTATCCGGACATCCATGTGTGTTTGTTGTACTCCATAAAATTCTGGCATATGGTGGTGGTCTGTAGTGATTGCGTGTGGACCAGACGCTTTAGTGGTTGATGAACAACAATCCACGACGCCGGCATACGTCCCAGGAATGCATTCAGTCGCATCTACTTTCCGCCATAGGTTCTCTTGAGTACATTCAGCCCCGGCAGTCAATACAACAACCAGTGTGTAGATATTACATGCAGTAATGTTCTGTTATCCACTGAGTACTAAAACTGTGTGCACATCTTGTTGACGTCATTATCTGTGGGGCGGTGGGGTGGTTAAAGCTTTCGGTAGTCACGCCGAACACTCGGGTTCGATTCCCAACATGGGTACCATGTTTAAAGCCCATTGCTGGTGTCATCCGCCATGATATTGCTGGAAGATTGCTAAAAGCGACGTAAAACTAAACTCACTCACTCGTCATGTGTGCATCTTCCAGTTACTCGTGGATCAAACGCTGGATTTCGTCAGGTTTATTTCTTCCTGTCTGTGATGATAAGTCACAGGTTAAGAGGGTTTTGGGATATGGTCCACACTTCACCAGAGTGGTTTATCATACGGGAACGGAGATACAGATGTTACAAGTTTCTGGTGACTGAGGTCCAGGACATGGACTGTAGCTGTTTCCTCTTCAAGAACGAACCCCAAATCCAGGATGTAAGCTGCACCTTGCTCGTACACTGTAAGGTAGTCGTCTGTCAGAGGTTGTGCATTGCTGTACACCATCAAGCATATTCCATCTTTGCATGTTATAAGACATGCATTCAGTCCACGTTTATGCTGCTTGTTAGTTTCAACATATTTGTCATTCAAAACAGTTTCGAAAAGAATGTTTTTCCAAACTGCTGGTGTTTTGCTCTGGAACTCAGTACAACAACCAGTGGGGATACATATATGAAAAATAGAATACAATAATGTTCCGTTATTTACTGACAACTGAGGCCTTGATTTCCGGGTGCATCTCTTGTTGACGTCGTCATCTGTGGGGATGACGCGGTTTGGGTAGCCCAGTGGTTAAAGCGATCGCTCATAATGCCGAAAACCCGGGTTCAATTCCCCCCATGAGAACAATGTTATTTCCCCATTTCTGGTGTTCCCCGTCGTGATACTTATGGAATCCTGCTAAAAGCTGCGTAAAGCTAAACTCTCTCACTCGTCATATGCGCATCATTCAGTTACTCGTGGATCAAGCGCTGGATTTTGCTAATCATATTTCTTCTATTCTGCGATAAATCACAGGTTACGTGAGCTTTATAATAAACTCCACAATTCGCCATCACCCAGAGTGGTTTAACACACGGGAACCGAGATACAGATGTTATACGTTTCTGGTGACTGAGGTCCAGGACATGGACTTTAGCTGTTTCCTGTTCAAGAACGAACCCCAAATCCAGGCTGTAAACTGTGTCTTGCTCGTAGACTGTTAGGTGGTCGTCCGTCAGACGTTGTCCATTGTAGTACACCTTCAGACATATTCCATTATGATCTGCGCATGTAACAAGACAGACATTCAATCCACGTGTCTGCTGCTTGCTCGTTTCAACAGGGCTGTCATTCAAAACTGTTTCGAAAAGAACTCTCTTCCAAATCTTTGGTGTTTTGACACAGTAGGTAACCTCCATTCCATACATGATGGTCTGGCCTGTCCTGATGACGAGAGGTGTTGATGTCAGGAGGCTTAGAGATGAAACTATTCGGCATCCAGTGTTTGGTGGAGGCTGTTTCTGTTTGTCATTAGAGACAACTGGACCAGAAACTGTCAACTCGTCACTTGCAGTACTGGAGTCCCATTCCAGCTCCACACCTGGAGAGAAGACATACAGTCTCTTTAGGGGTAATTTGATACACACATATAGGTATACATTTCTATGTATCTAAACCGCCTCCGTGTTGTTGTGGTTAGAGCGTCCGCCCGGAGAGCGAAGGTCGCGGGTTCGCTCCCCCACCGCGTCATACCATAAAATATGGTACTTGTTGGTCCCTGCATTAATGGGTACTACAAGGACTGGTCGGCTCGGAGTCAGTATAATGTGTCTGAGTGGGGTATTCATGCTTCACTGTGGCACGGTATCTCAGTGGGCTTGCACTATAAAACCAGCTTCAGTCTGGGTTAGTACAAACACCTCACCTATATATATCTATATCAATACACTATCATCATGTAATTACAGAGTTGGGTTGCAAGCCCTTTTAAGAGTGTACCACGTGTCTGCTTAATGTGGGAGGAAATCCCGAAGTGATGCAGGTCTAATGTCATATTGTTACTATGGTTCCGTGAATTTTAGGAGAGATAAAATACAACAGGGTGGTGAATCAGAAAAAATGGTCATGTATGTACAATGCTCAAACAAGAGAAGGGCAGTATTTGGGGTAAGTTGCCCATGTTAGCCCTTCGGCTTTAGGTGTGGTGGGTCTATTACCCTTGGATTTGAAGTCCATTTGAAGTACAACGTATTCCGACTGATAAAAACGCATGATTGAGCCAAAACCTGGATTAGGAGAGTACTTCATGCCAACAGAAAAATAACATTTAAAAAATTGTCCTACTGGTAACAAAAAATAATACTTGCAACGAAACTATCTCTGCATAATTGTTTTAACAGCTCATGTTATCCCATAGAGGCGGTGCTGTCACGTAATATTCTAAAGACGTTTACAGAATATGAAGAAAACTGGTACCCCATGAGTCGCTCACTTTTTGTAGGATGTAAATAGAAGCGACAAAACCTTTTCCACATTCATGAGAAATCTCTGCTAAAGGCAGTGTCGATTGTACAATTGTGACTATATCATGAGCATATATTTGTTTCAGCATTATCACACATGTATGCTAGTGTTTGTAAACAAAACGAGAACCGGACAATCCAACAATCCAGCGATTGTCACCCTGCGATACATGACAGAGCATGTGTTTATGAATCACTTTGAAATAGAAAGAAAAGGTGAGCGTATCCTGCCCCACTGGTGGCACCCGTCATAACTATATGCTACGTCTAGTCAATTGTCCACCTGAAATAATTCGGGAAGGTATAGTAATGTCAAAACAGGGAATTGCATCTCACATCATTTTTGCATCAAATTTGAAATTTCCTACACGTCTTTCATAAAACCTGTTGAAAGTTTGACTGAGGCCTTGAACGTTGTAACCTTGAGCTGAGCAAGAGTGGTATGACGCTCTTTGAAATCCTGATAAAAAGAGCACTCTCGATTGTATCTCAAAAGTTATGAAATGTAACCACCAAAGGCTGGAGCTGTTGGAATGTTGCTCGACATGAAAGGGAAATTGACAATTGGAAAGGGAATCATCCCTTTCGTCACACAGCCTTGTGGAGAGTGTTTTTTGTCAATCTGAATCTTTATACATAAATCTAAATATGAAACAGTAGAGGCGGTCTCACTTGTCTCCTTAATTTCAAGTTCATATAGGTAAATCAGTGAAAGGCAATACCCAGCAATATATCTCTCTTTGTACTGGTTTTTTATGTAGCTTTGGAATCCAGTACAAAAGAGGGAATTACTTTTTTTTTAACTGTTTTCCCTTTCCAAATTTCAGTCTGGCAACTACGTTCTGGCGCTTTTTCGTGTTTTCACTTTTTTTACTTGTCCCCTCATATCAGACACACATTTTGTTGTTCTGTTTTAGTGCAGCTGGAGGCGTATTCCGTAAATCATTATGTGTGTAACATAACTTTTCTTTTTCCGGAGTGTATAATTTTGGAAATATAAAAGGCTTCTGATAAAAAGCAACACCCATAGTGGGGATAAACTGACTTATCACTAACAGATAGTGATTCATGACCACATGCTTGTGATACAAGACAGGTGTTTCTCATTTTCATAATCGTGGTTTCATCACATATATTGTCCTATGAGATTTGTAGCCATTATTCAAACTTGCCAAATTACGACAAAAATGATAACTGATGAGACAAAGAGAGAGGATGAATTTTTTTGTGAATATCTGTAATTCACTTTATAATGCTCATTACATTGATTTAGCAGCTTAAGGGCTAACTTACATGAGATGGATCCTTTTGCATCCAAAGGCAGCCCAGTCATATATGCAGCTATGGAAAAGAACGTTAACATGACTTTAGGATCGAAGCACATGACATCAAGATCAACAATGGGCAGCATGGCCATGTTGGTGTTTTCACAACATATTTGGGACGGTTAGTACCTGCAAGACCTTTGCACAGTTACAAACCAAGACACAGAAAAGTCTTAAAATGGATTACACTTTGTAAAATCTTTGGTTTACAGGTAAGCAATAGCTGCATGCTTACCTTCTGGGACTTGCTCGTGTTCAAAGGTGATTGCATTGTATGGGGATCCATCTGGATTTGAATTCTCAATCGGTGTAAATACAACTGATTTGACAAGACCAGCCATCTTCACGAAGGTGCTAATTTTGCTGAAGCAAGTTGAAGAAAAGCTGACTCCAGCTCTTCCCGGTGATGCCTTTGGCGACAACTCCAACAGGGCGCTCAAGGTGGCAGCTGAAGACTCCATCACTTGTATATCCTCTATCTTGTCAGCTTTACCCCGCATCTGTCTTGTGTACTCAGTAGATGATGTCACCTTAGTCAGAATGGTTCTGGTGGAATCCAGTTCCTCCTGTGTCAGCTTCAGAAGGTTGCTGGACTTCTCTTCAACTTTGGACAACAGGATGGCCCTCCTCTGCTGTATTTCATCCATCAGTTTGTCAATTGCTGTGTTGATGTCAACCACAGCAGCCTTTGTTGACTCCTCTATGCCTGAGTATCTTTTCTGGAGATCTTTTTCTGCTTCCAGAAGTTTCTCTGCCTTCTGATCCAGCTTGGTTAAGGTGTCTTCAATAGACTTTGCCCTCTCTTGGTGTGCGTCATCAACGGGAACAACGTTGTGCCCCTTCCCTTCCTTGTGTTCTACTACAGTGCAGGACACGCAGACGATCTTGTCACAGGTGTTGCAATAGAACTGTAGAGGTTGGTGATGTTGTGGACACTTATGAACACGGTGGAAGGTTTTACTTGGTCCTTCTTTCATTTCCTGAAAACTGACAGTATGGTGATCGTGCAGAGTCTTAACTCTTTTGTGGGCATTCAGACATTCTTGACAGAGAAAGGCGACACAGTCATCACATTTGGACATGGCAGGGTTACTATCAGGACAATCTGTACACGGCAGATTCAGACCCTTCACAATCTTCAGGTGATCCAAGATTCTTAGGATGACAGGCTCCTTGGGCAGAGACTCCACACCGCCCGGCAGGTAGTGTAGGTGTCGGCACATTGGGCATGATATGACTATGCGCCCTCTGCCGTGGGTCTCCAGACATACCTCACATATTGATTGCACACAACATGGCATACGGCGAGGTGTACGTGTGGCCTCATCAAAGTGTTCTGTACATATTGGGCACTCGGTGAGGAGATCCTTGATGGTGGACGTTGATACGTAGTAAGACATGGTTATCTGCAGATGAATATGTGACAATTGTAGCATTTTCAAAAAGATCAGATTACCCTCTCTCTGTTATAATGACATAAACTTGGCGGTATTTCATATTAACACGATAGTCGCCTTATACACTGTACAAGATAATAGGTTATTCACTAATGCTATCGGTTTTTATTACCAAACGAGGACAGAGAATGGTTGACTCGAATATGCGGAAAAGAGATCCATTATGATTAAAAGGCACCATGGAAGATTGCAGAAAGTGCTGTTATAGCCAACCGCATAAATAATATTTTCTTTGTGATGCTGTCGCATAACCTTGCAAATGGACTTACAAATGGCATTTTATACCTTGTGAGTGTTATATCATGCTGTCCAACTTGCTTTGTGTCCCACTCTAACGGTATTTGGTCAGTTGTTGATATCTACCAACTCAAATCCGTTAACAAAGCCATATACAGCCGAAAATCCATACCCAATTCATGTATTGTGTGTAAAAATCAAACTATGTACGAGTGATTCCAACTATTCATTGATTGATACTGTTTATTGATTGGGTGATACGATTTTATTTGTCATGTCATGCCATGTCCTTATGAGTGTCATGAACTGAGAAGGATGGGATTTTCCATTAGGTCACCTAACAACCCACTTATGCAGTCCCGTGAGAGGGATTAAAAACTCATTAATCACATTCATCAAATAAAGTAGGTCTCCTGTCAAAAATATCCTATTTACCTCCATCTACACCACGTAGGCTCCGCTCGTGGTTACAGTGTGTGAAGCCCATTTCTGGTGTCCCCCACCATGATATTGCTGGAATATTGCTTAAAGCGGCATTAAACATACTCACTCACCCATTCACTCCAGATGTATGTTAATGTTCGGTATATTCAACAGGTTTGTTTCAGCCAATCAGGTCCCGCATATTTAGTAGTCGTCTGTGTTCGTAATTCTTTGACTCAAATGAGTGTCCGAAAACACAACGATCGCATGTCAAACTGAAAACAGCAGTGCACTTTAGAACGGGGTATGTGACAAGCGCGATCAAGCGAGTGACCTTGTATAACAGTTCCGGGTAGCAGCGTCTGTGTATGCTTCAGTATTGTACGGTGTGTTGTGTCAAGCAGACATGGTAAATACTCTAATTATGACGATAGCTAAGTTAACGTTGTCTATTACAAGGTGGGGAGATTAGCGAGAAAGCATGTTCCATATACACTCGTAAGCCTCAGAAAACCCATAATGATAGGATATTATAAAGCCATGAATGTGACTGTTGTTTTGTTTTTGTTCATTATAGATATTTTGTTCCTCAACAGACAATTAGGAAATAAATATACTGTGTTGGAAAATCAGAGGTATATAACAAAATTATAATAGCTCTAAATTTCATTTAAAACCGAACGCCTAGCTCACTATGCAGCTCATAAAGGGAACAAAACATGGTGGTGTAAGTACCGCGGACTGGCAGTAAGTTGATTGTAAACGATGGGGACGAGAGAGGTTATGAAAAGCATTTATGAGATCACACAAACAGTCCCACAAAGCCAACTGCGCATAAACTCTTTCAGTTAATGTATGATCGTTAGGCATGACCCAAATACTATCATCGTGACTAACCCATATGAACTACGAACAAGTTGTGCATTAAATAAAAACAAATGATTGTCGCCAGTCTTCACACTTGGGCCTTCTTTCGTATGTTCGATAATTCAGTAAGACCTTTATATGATATTATCATGCTGACATTTCCATATAATCACCTCCAATACCTCCACGCAACAGTGTCGGTCGCTGGTGAAACGTCCTTGGGTGGATCACAAGTATTGTCGGGTAGCTACTTGTCCAACAGTTGCGTACAGTTGGTAGGTCAACCATATATCCTCTATCTGTAATGAACCTACATAGTGTTACACATGTCAGCGTACTCGCCACTGCATGTTCTAAGTACTTACATGTCGAAGATATGAAAACCTAATGTAGATTTCACACTTTTACAGATTGCCAGTTCAATCCTCAATTTTGGCGGTACGAAGAATGTTGCTGACGCATGCACAGGTTAAGAGGGGTATGCGCAGTATCTAGTTTCGCTTTGAATTGTCCTATTTTATTGTATGATATGTTTGTCAGGTGTGATCAGACGTGTCCATGTCGAGTTGATGAAAAGAGTACAGGGGCGTGCAACGCTTAGAAACAGCGTTAGAAAGACATCTAGATATATAGACCCTACCCTAGTACTATATAAAAAGATATATAGTACTAGGGTAGGGTCTATATACCTGGGGCGGTGGGGTAGCCCAGTGGTTAAAGCGTTCGCTCGTCACGCCGAAGACCCGGGTTCGAATCCCCACATGGGTACATTGTGTGAAGCCAATTTCTGGTGTCCCCCGCCGTGATATTGCTGGAATATTGCTAAAAGCGACGTAAAACCAAACTCACTCACTCACTCTATATACCTATATGTCTTTCTAACGCTGTTTCTAAGCGTGAAACGACCCTGTGGAAAAGAGTACAAGCATATATATTATACGTCGACAATCAGAACGATGTCGATGTGTGAGATACACAAGACATATGTGAGAACGAAACTGCTGACATCAACCCCAGTTTGAGAAGAAGGCAATCGGTTGTCTTGCCGTCACGCACCAGTCACCCTTGACAATCATTGATTTCACGTGCAACCTGGAAGACGCACTTGGATGTTGACGAGGTCGTATCAGATGTTTTATACCATGTAGACGCAATCCACGTCGATTATTGAAAGAATTGTGGTGTGTGGTCCTGTGCATAGAGCTGAGGTCACAAATCAGTTGAAGTTAAGCAACGTTGAGCGCGGAGAGGCCTTGGATTGGTGAACGTGTGTGACAGCTTGACTCCTGAGAGTTTCTAGGACTTCAGTCCTGCCCCACAACGAAGCGCATGTGATACATGTTGTCTCACTTTAGGCAAGTGAATTTGTTCAAAATTGCCTCTGTTCACCCAGCAGACAACCCCAGCTTTTCCCAATGGTATCAAACAGACTATTTGATACTGAGCACCATCATAATCTCTTCATTTTCACCAATGACACAACCTTTTATGAACACTAGCCAATTTGACAAAACTAAGTTCAAGAGTCACATGTTGTACGTAAAATTGACAAGTGTATTCCTGTATCTACATCCCATACAAACCACGACTCCTACAACTATGCTTTGACGTGGAAATGAACCAAGGCCCCTGCGGTCGGGGCACTGCAGTCAGGGGTGCTCGAAGTGAGCATTCACAGCTCGAACAGTGATTCTGACCACTATGAGGAAGAAATCAGCGGTGTCTTGATACTCATCAAATCAGACTTTTTAAGCTGAAAAGTTTGATACAGTCCCAAATGAAATTAAAGACGAATTTTTGAAGTTAAGATCGAAGTAAAGAAAGATTGTTTACGCTTGAAAGTTTGGTTGATAAAGAAGAGCTTCAGAAAAGGAAGAACACCCACATCATTCACGGCGTAGAGGTTGTGATTGGAGAAATGTGGGCGGAGTATGAGAAGCTTGTGAGGGTGTTTCTAGACCAGCATAACCTCGGTATGGACAATGCTGATACTACCAACATCGTGCCAGCTCATCGTCAAAGAAGACACAAGTACATACTTGTTCAGTTCATCACACCCAATCGTTATGTCAAAGGTATTTGAGACCCCCCCTCCCCCCAAAGAAATCCCCAACCAAACAAAAGTACAAACAAACAAAAAAAACCACACATCCAAAAAAACAAGCAATCAAAACACACAAAAAACTCCAAAAAAAACAAAAACAATGACAACAACAAAAAATAACAACAAAAGCAAAAAATAACCCCACAAAAAAAGACAAAAAAGTTAAGAAAACAAACAAACAAAAGCAACAACAGCTACAACACACACACAAAAAAACGCCCCAAAACATGGCCCCAAGATTTTATGCAACTTTCATCATTTTTTTATAAGGCATTTGCCTTTGTTGATATATATTTTTACGAAACGGTAGGTAGTGTAGGTAGTTTGAAACTATATATTCAAGATATCATGTGGAGTACCCCAATGACGCATGTTAAGCCCTGTGTTATTCATGTTTTTCATAAATGAGCTAGTTTAGCTTAGTTCAGTATCTTTCTGTTATTAGGCCACCTGCCCATTTATCCATGAGCTAGTAGACGAAAACATGTGGACTGGGAGGAGTGTTTGCCAGAGATTTACCAATAAGAAAGGTATGATACTTTTATAAATTAACAACTTCTTTATTATATTATGATGTGAAGTTTTGGTATAGATTCGTATACGGTTGTCAAGCATCATACGTCGCATCATGATATGATATCTTGCTTGACAACATTGTGAGAATCTGAGTATCTAGATGTGTTTCCACATCTGCACAAGTGAGACTCCCTTAATTTCCGTGTATACTGTTTTCGTCATTGTCAGCACTAAGAGGTATGATTAGTGAAATGGAGAAACTCGCGTTGACAACAAAATTATAAATTAAGTTTTCTTCCCATGAGCAATGATGCATCCTTCAGGAACCGTTCTACATCTACTCACTGTCACCATGAGCCTGCACGAGGTGAGGAAACAACACAACCTCAAACAGTGGACCAGACAATCCAGTGATTCACATCGCTGCCTTGCACTTCTCAACCGGACATCTTGAAGACCTTTGTCGGAAATTATGTCTGAGGGATACGTTGGGGAAGAGCATCCGAGCAAGTCCTAGATCACGTGACTGCTGCCGAGTGTTGTATGCGCTGCGCTACACTTTGAAATTATTTGGACGTGTGTGGATGATCTGAGTTTGAAGTTTCCTTTCCATATATGATTTTCTGTTCAAGGAGGTTTCCACATGGCGAAGGTGGACTTCAAGGAGGTGTCCAAATGACCAAGGTGGACTTTAAGGAGGTGTTCACATGCTCAAGGAGGTTTCCACATGGCCAAGGTGGACTTCAAGGAGGTGTCCAAATGCTCGAGGAGGTTTCCACATGGCGAAGGTGGACTTCAAGGAGGTGTCCACATGTTCAAGGAGGTTTCCACATGGCGAAGTTGGACTTCAAGGAGGTGTCCACATACTCAAGGAGGTTTCCACATGGCGAAGGTGGACTTCAAGGAGGTGTCCACATGCTCAAGGAGGTTTCCACATTGCGAAGGTGGACTTCAAGGAGGTTTCCACATGCTCAAGGAGGTGTCCACATGCTCAAGGAGGTTTCCACATGGCGAAGGTGGACTTCAAGGAGGTGTCCACATGCTCAAGGAGGTTTCCGCATGGCGAAGGTGGACTTCAAGGAGGTGTCCACATGCTCAAGGAGGTTTCCACATGGCGAAGGTGGACTTCAAGGAGGTGTCCACATGCTCAAGGAGGTGTCCACATGTTCAAGGAGGTTTCCACATGGCGAAGGTGGACTTCAAGGAGGTGTCCACATGCTCAAGGAGGTTTCCACATGGCGAAGGTGGACTTTAAGGAGGTGTCCACATGCTCAAGGAGATTTCCACATGGCGAAGGTGGACTTCAAGGAGGTGTCCAAATGCTCAAGGAGGTTTCCACATGGCGAAGGTGGACTAAAAGGAGGTGTCCAAATGCTCAAGGAGATTTCCACATGGCGAAGGTGGACTTCAAGGAGGTGTCCACATGCTCAAGGAGGTTTCCACATGGCGAAGGTGGACTTCAAGGAGGTTTCCACATGCTCAAGGAGGTGCCCACATGCTCAAGGAGGTTTCCACATGGCGAAGGTGGACTTCAAGGAGGTGTCCACATGCTCAAGGAGGTTTCCACATGGCGAAGGTGGACTTCAAGGAGGTGTCCACATGCTCAAGGAGATTTCCACATGGCGTAGGTGGACTTCAAGGAGGTGTCCACATGCTCAAGGAGGTGTCCACATGTTCAAGGAGGTTTCCACATGGCGAAGGTGGACTTTAAGGAGGTGTCCACATGCTCAAGGAGGTTTCCACATGGCCAAGGTGGACTTCAAGGAGGTGTCCACATGCTCAAGGAGATTTCCACATGGCGTAGGTGGACTTCAAGGAGGTGTCCACATGTTCAAGGAGGTTTCCACATGGCGAAGGTGGACTTCAAGGAGGTGTCCACATACTCAAGGAGGTTTCCACATGGCGAAGGTGGACTTCAAGGAGGTGTCCACATGCTCAAGGAGGTTTCCACATGGCGAAGGTGGACTTCAAGGAGGTGTCCACATGCTCAAGGAGGTGCCCACATGCTCAAGGAGGTTTCCACATGGCGAAGGTGGACTTCAAGGAGGTGTCCACATGCTCAAGGAGGTTTCCACATGGCGAAGGTGGACTTCAAGGAGGTGTCCACATGCTCAAGGAGATTTCCACATGGCGTAGGTGGACTTCAAGGAGGTGTCCACATGCTCAAGGAGGTGTCCACATGTTCAAGGAGGTTTCCACATGGCGAAGGTGGACTTTAAGGAGGTGTCCACATGCTCAAGGAGGTTTCCACATGGCCAAGGTGGACTTCAAGGAGGTGTCCACATGCTCAAGGAGATTTCCACATGGCGTAGGTGGACTTCAAGGAGGTGTCCACATGTTCAAGGAGGTTTCCACATGGCGAAGGTGGACTTCAAGGAGGTGTCCACATACTCAAGGAGGTTTCCACATGGCGAAGGTGGACTTCAAGGAGGTGTCCACATGCTCAAGGAGGTTTCCACATGGCGAAGGTGGACTTCAAGGAGGTTTCCACATGCTCAAGGAGGTGTCCACATGCTCAAGGAGGTTTCCACATGGCGAAGGTGGACTTCAAGGAGGTGTCAACATGCTCAAGGAGGTTTCCACATGGCGAAGGTGGACTTCAAGGAGGTGTCCACATGCTTAAGGAGATTTCCACATGGCGAAGGTGGACTTCAAGGAGGTGTCCACATGTTCAAGGAGGTTTCCACATGGCGAAGGTGGACTTCAAGGAGGTGTCCACATACTCAAGGAGGTTTCCACATGGCGAAGGTGGACTTCAAGGAGGTGTCCACATGCTCAAGGAGGTCTCCACATGGCGAAGGTGGACTTCAAGGAGGTGTCCACATGCTCAAGGAGGTGTCCACATGCTCAAGGAGGTTTCCACATGGCGAAGGTGGACTTCAAGGAGGTGTCCACATGCTCAAGGAGATTTCCACATGGCGAAGGTGGACTTTAAGGAGGTGTCCACATGCTCAAGGAGATTTCCACATTGCGAAGGTGGACTTCAAGGAGGTGTCCAAATGCTCAAGGAGGTTTCCACATGGCGAAGGTGGACTTAAAGGAGGTGTCCAAATGCTCAAGGAGATTTCCACATGGCGAAGGTGGACTTCAAGGAGGTGTCCACATGGCCAAGAAGGTGTCCACATGGTCGGGGCTCGATATCTAGCGCTTTCCATGAAATGCTGCACAAACAGATAGTGTGGGTTTACACCTGTGTGTTACATATAAACATAAACCTAATGACAGTGATAAGGGTGGAACAAAGACATGTGACGACGGTTTCACGATAAGTGCTGATCAATCATCACACGTGACCCGTCTTCTTTTCGTGATTAATCATTTCAAGTCGTTGCTGATTCAAAACGTGTATTATCGATGTGTTTTGCCTTTAATATGACAATGAGTGTCAGCTTTATCAGTCATGTTTTCACGTCCATTTCTCTCTTGTTTTATAATTCTTGGTTCAACAGAATCACACAATGTATGTAGTTACATAATCGATTTCAACATATATTTTGAAAGAATTCCTTGGCAAGCAATTTTTACGGTGTGAGCACGCGTGTGTATTAGTGCGTGCAATAACGTGCATGTGTGTCTCTCTGTAGTGTCAAAACCGTGTCCCTGGACCACACGCACACACACGCACACACACGCACTCACATACGTGAATGTTGTTAAATATGTGACATTATTTCATTTCATTGTATTGAAAGTGTCAAAATTCTGTACAAAATCCCAATTAAATCAATAGTGTTGCATATGTTTATTACAATATCAAATCATAATAATCAAAATAAAAACAAATGAAGGTGATGTTTATGAAGGCATATATACAGTTATAAACCAGAATCAATGGATTTCGATGTTATGTTCAACGACAGGAGGGTTCTATGATGTACGCTCTAAGGTAAGTGTAATCTTATAAAAAGGTACACACTGAGTTCTCGAATGAAAGCACTTTTCCTGCATTATCACACAAAGGACGTTAGCTCTCACAGAGAGCCTTGTCCTAACCTAAACCTAAACAATTTCATGATATTTAACGTCGCTTGGAAACAGTTCCAGAAACCCTGAGCATCTTGCGAGTATCTAGCGAGCATCCTACGCCACCAGTCATCTTTGCTGACTTTCGCAGTGTCCTTATGGCTTACTGCGGGGCCCTGTGGGGTCTGAAGTTCCGGAGCTGCCCGGTGACATCACCCCCAGACCACACCCAACTGTCTGGCTGGTTTGTGAACACAAGAAGGTCTTTCGATGTGCTTGGCATCACCGGGTTGATTAGTGGAGCCGTTCCGGAGTTTGGACCTCCAGGTCCTCCTGGCAACTGTGAACCACCAGGACCACCAGCTACTGGATCTAAAGGATTACTAGCGAGTTGATCTCTCCCTACTGAATTTTCTATAGTAGGTCCTCCTGTTTCAACGAATGCTTGCGGGCTTGGTCTGGGGAGGTTGCGTCGTGTAGGTGCACGGTTAGGCCAAGGCTGGCCCTGGCTGGATGGAGGTTCGCCTGGATTTGGTCCAGACCGGCTGAAAATGGGTCCGGGTCGTTCGAAAACTGGTCCAGGCTGGCTAGGACCGATTAGGTCGAGACGGGGATCGCCCAAAGGATCAGAAAAGCCGGGACCATTCGCAAGATTTATGTTAGGTTCTCCGAGTCCGTTGGATGGGTCAACGAACGGAGTCTCGTGAGATATGGTTGGATCGACGAAAGGCGTCCCGTGAGATATGGATGGATCAGGGAACGGAGATCCGTGAGATATGGTTGGATCAACGAAAGGATTCCCGTTAGATATGGTTGGATCCACTATGGGCGTCCTTTGAATGATGGCTGGATCAACAATTGGCGTCCCGTGAGATATGGTTGTGTCAACTACGGGCGTCCCATGAGTAATGGTTGGGTCAACGAAAGGCGTCCCGTGAGATATGGATGGATCAGGGAAAGGAGATCCATGAGATAGGGTTGGATCCACGATGGGCGTCCCGTGAGTTAGGGCTGGATCAACGAATGGCGTCCCATGAGATATGGTTGTGTCAACTACGGGTGACCCGTGTGTACGAGATGGGTCAGGGAATGGAGATCCATGAGATAGGGTTAGATCCACGATGGGCGTCCCGTGAGTTAGGGCTGGATCAACGAATGGCGTCCCATGAGATATGGTTGTGTCAACTACGGGTGACCCGTGTGTATGAGATGGGTCAGGGAAAGGAGATCCATGAGATATGGTTAGATCCACGATGGGCGTCCCGTGAGTTAGGGCTGGATCAACGAATGGCGTCCTATGAGATATGGTTGTGTCAACTACGGGCGACCCGTGTGTATGAGATGGGTCAGGGAAAGGAGATCCATGAGATATGGTTGTGTCAATTAGGTGTGTCCCGTGAGATAAGGTTGGATCAACGAAAGGCGTCCCGTGAGATATGCTTGTATCAACTACGGGCGCCCCGTGTGTATGAGCTGGATCAGGGAAGGGAGCTCCATGAGAATGTTTGGGATCCACCAAGGGCGTTCCGTGATGACTAGTGGGGACAGCCATCGGTTTTCCACCAAGGTAGGAAGGATCTGGTCCAGTCCCTCCAGTAGGGAGCACAGGATCACCAGGGGGCTTTCCGTGTGGATAGACAGAGTCTGCGATAATCTGGAACAACAACACACGATTGCTTCGTAATGATCATATTTTTAAGACGTATCAAGAGAACGTTATTAGCACAATCAAACTTTAGGATGCCTTTTAATTTACACAATGGATATTAAATTTCCATAATTATTCCTAAACTTCGATACTTAAATGCTTCCATGAAGGTAACCAATTAATATGACATTGCAGTCAGCCGATCTGTATTTTGCTTTATAGATATAAAAGAACAGAAAAAAAGTGTTGAGGTTTGGTCACTTATTCTACATTAGAATACTCTGTGACATAAACGTTGCATTATACATGGAGAGGTAGTTTAAATAGTTTACCTGTGTTTCTTGTGGAACAGCTGAAGTTTGTCCTGGGTATCCTGCCTGACCGGAGGACCCTGTGTTCCTGTTCCTGTTCCTGTATAGTTCCTGGCCTGCTGCCAGGCCTTGTTGGTAGATGTCCTTGGCCTTGAAGAGGCCAGATGTCTTTTTGGGGATTACTGAGGCACCAGCATCTCCGCCTGTAGAGGACCGGTAAAGCTTCTGTAACGAGGAAAAGGATGCCAAGTCGCCGGTAGGTGGCACTGCAATACCTCCATCAAATGTCTTGGCTTTTGCAGACGACATCTGAACAGGGCTGTTAAGGGGTTTGTCCTGACCTGCAGACAAACTGGTTCGGTAGAGGTTTTGAATTGAAGAAAATGACGACAGCTGTCCCGCAGACGGAGCACGGGTTCCAACAGGTTGTGAAGGGAAAGCAGGATCAGATGGTCGGCTTGGCAGATTGGGTGAGTGGATTGGTTGACCAAGCGCTCCAGATGACGTCATTCCGCCAGTATGCAGAGGCTCTGACGTGTGGATGACGTGGGTTGTCTGAGGTGGTCCCAATAGGTGTGACGAGGCCAAGTGTTGACCAGACCGTATACCGCCTTGATATGTTCCTGTCATTGGCTGGTTGTAACCGCTACGGGATGACGTCATTCCACCACTATGCAGTGGCTCTGAAGTGTGGATGGCGTGGGTTGGCCGGGGTTGGCCCGATAGGTGAGACGAGGGCAAGTGTTGACCAGACCGTATACCGCCTTGATATGTTCCTGTCATTGGCTGGTTATAACCACTACGGGTTGACGTCATTCCACCACTATGCAGTGGCTCTGAAGTGTGGATCACGTGGGTTGCCCGGGCTTGGCCCGATAGGTGAGACGAGGCCAACTGTTGACCAGACCGTACACCGCTTTGATATGTTCCTGAGGAAGGTTGGCCATGTGTCATTGTTATTGGCTGGTTGTATCCGCTACCGGATGACGTCATTCCACCAGTATGGAGTGGCTCTGACGTGTGTATGACATGTGATCTCTGCCCATGGCTGTGTCCATGGTCACCATTAGCGTGCCCTGAGACGGGGGCTCCACGTTGCCATGGATAACCAGATGCAGCCCGTCTGTTTCCTATAGAATTGAATTGAATAATATTAGTTAAGACAAAGCACTTACATTTTAAGTCGGGCGCGTTAATATATATTTAAAATAACGTGGCAATGCAATGATTATTTTAAACATATTGTATTTGCAGATGAAATAATATATGATTTTTAATTTTTTTTAAATTATTGTGATTGTTGTTTTACGCCGCAGTGATTACAGCTACATTACAGTGCATTCAAAATAACTGGACCAGACAAATTAGTGACTTTAAGAATGACCATTCGAACCAGGTCCTTGAACGGTTTCGTTTGAGAAAAATAGAACGAAAGAACTCACTGTTCAAAGAAACTGCAATATATCTCGCCGACGAGATGTCCAGAAATGCGCCAAACACCAGGCAAAATGAAATGGTTTTCATATTCTCCACAACTCTCTGAAAAAAAGATCGACAAACATATAATAGTAAGTAAGTGAGTCAGTTGGGTTCAACTCCACATTTAACAGCATTCCAGTTAACTCACCACACGTAAGCTTGATTTGGGAGGGTATTCCGAAGTAATGCAAACGTTTACTACCAGTGAGGATATAGTTCTGAGAAAGCGACAGATATATTTATACTTAACAATGTATATATCGAGCTGAATCCTCACGTTGTTTAGAGGGGCAGTGGGGTAGTCAAGTGGTTAAAGCGTTTGCCCGTAACGCCAAAGACCAGAGTTCGATTCCCCATATGGACACAATGGGTGAAGTCCGTTTCTGGTGTCCCCCGCCGTGATATTGCTGGAATATTGCTAAAAGCGGCGTAAAACCCAACTCACTCACGTAGTTTACAATGTGGTGTGTTTGTTTTGTTTATCGCTAGTTAACGCTTGACTCCAGATATATACCTGTAAATAGTCAAATGTGGACCAGGCAATCCAGTGATTGCTATTGTGAACAGCGATCCACGCTGTAGGCGCATGAGGACACACATCATGTCACCGAGCTTGACCATCCTGTCCATATCGCTCTAATAACCAGCATTAGTTGCTAGAGATCTATTCTAACATAGGGAGAGTCAACAATATATTCAAGGGCAGAACAGAACCCCAAACACTGAAAACAAATACAGGAAGTGTCTACTGTAAATTTGTTACACATTTATCTTCCATAATGACAAAACAGATAATCGTTCACTGTAAAGTAAGATATATGATAAATTCTTACAAAATTATATTGTATAACATGTAAATAATAGATAAATAGGGTTTCTTAACGCTGGAATCTGAATGTCTGTTCTCACCTTGAATAGTCTGTCTGATACCACCCCAAGGAGACCAGTCCGAGTTGTCAATGCTTCAGAACACACCACAACAGATATATAGTCTCGGATACATAAAGTTGACGTATGGACTCTGAAGATTGATTGGCTGATTCGTCTATTGTCTATTCAGTGACGTCACGCATGCGCAAATGCCGTGGAAGGTTCGTGTGATCCATGACAAATGATGGATGTCATTCATGGAGACTTTATGAGGGTTGTCACTCGAATGAGAAGATGAGGGGGAAGTGCTTCAGTTGGGTGATGATTCGTCATGATTGTAACAGTTTGAAGATGGCCACAATTACCTTAGCTTGCCTTAAACCGTTAACCGTTGTAGTTCTTTGGCATTAAATAAGATCAATGGTACTTGGAGGTTATTGCCGATGTGATCGGTTCAGATTTATTGCACAACATGCTACAGGAATGAGAAATCTAGGCAACTGGCTGGAGCCTCGTCTCGTCGTGACTTGTGCTCCAGGGAATTTCAGGGTCCATCTTCATGACATAGATATTTTGAGTAGTTGATTGAAACATTCTATGGTTTGTGTCAAACATTTTGTTCGGGTTTACGTCAAAACTGAAAGCTGAACATATGTTCTTATTTTTTTGCACTTTTATAGACAAAGTAAGCAAAGATGAAAATGACGGATATTTGGTTACTTGGCACACTTGGTGAAGCTAAAGCCATTTTCCAACCTTGTCCATGTTTTGTCAGCTACAACGTTACATAATGGACACAGATTCTAGAAAGCATATATTGGACAATGGGAACTTGGAATCAGTAGGTCAAACATTGTAGGCTATGTCTTAGTCCAGGGGAATTTCGGGTAAGAATGTGTTCTAAGTAATCTATGCTGGTATTATACCCGTAAATTGATCCTCAACAACCCATGCTTGTCGTAAGAGGCGACCAAAGGGATGTTATCAATCACTGGATTGTCTGGTCCAGTTTCGATTGTGTACAGACCGCCGTCACAGAGCCTAAATACTGCGGCTGGTTGTACATGCGGTTTGTAGTGCAGTGCAGTGCAGTGCAGTCAGTGATGATGACGTCTCCCCGGACCCCGACGGCGTGGATCTTCGCTCATAATGTCAACCACTATTTCTCATTATCCAGACTATGTATATTTACAGACAGCCGTCCTACAACTGGAATATTATGAAATACCACGTCTAACAACAAAAAGACCGACAATGGTCGATCGTACAGAAAGACAACCCCCCCAAAAAAACAAAACAAAACAAAAACAAAACAAAAAAAACAAAAAATACCCAAACAAAAAACAACAACACCCAAAACAAACAATTAACCTAACAAAACAATAAATATTAAATAAATAAAATAAAAAAATAAAACAAACAAACAAAAACAAAACAATGCAACACCCACCCACCCCAACACCCACCCCGAAAAACAACTACAGCAAATAAAACAAAACAAAACTAAACTAAATACAAAACAAAACAATCATGTTAAACCAAAAAGCAAAGAAGTAAACGCTTGAAAACTCGACATGACCTTAACTTAACCTAAGTCATCAAAATGTGCACTTCCTCATGAATATTTTTCACAATAGAAATGTGTGTATCGATAGACGTTTAAAGGTTTATCACCAATTAGTGAATGGGTTATGTTTACGCCGCTACAAGTGCTATGAATGAGTGATTAATATTAAACGCCGTATCAACATTCCTGCTGCTATAAGCTGGGAGGTGTTGTCGAGCGAATAAAGAACAGTCTGTACTTCATCACAGTTCAATTACTGGTCAGGTAAATCTTCACTGTCGCATTCCACAAGTCACCGACGTAAACAGGGGAGCCTGAGATCCCTCTTCATGTACACCTGTCAGCCAACAACGTCACTGTTTCGTTACGTCACACCTATACTAGTCACGTGACTACCGCTCGTGCTGTACCTTGTATATGTCGAGCGAGAACAAAGACGCGGAAATCAGGGTGAAAGTTGATGATATATCTCAGACCAATGAAAACCTGGGTCGCAGGTGTGTTTGATTGATCATATTTTTTTATGGAAGTATTATTTGTGATAAGAAAAGACAAATTGCGGGATGTCTCATAAAAGTCTCTTCCTCAGACCATTAGACTCCTGAGGGGGGTGTTTCATCACCGTCCTGATTTAAAAACATATTGTAATGGTAGGGTTATTTTTTAGTAGAAATCAGGCTTGTTTTAGGGAGGGGACAGGTTAGGCATAGGCTGGGCTAAAAATAACACACTAGGCTTAGCCTTCAGTGGGCTGGTCCATTTAGCTCTTGAGATGTAAGGACCCGCTAGGCAAGTGCCTACCTAGTATGCTTCTTCCCCATTGTTATGCAATGGGATGGGCCAGTGCATGAGCATCTCAAGAGCATAGGGATCAGTCCACTGAATTTTTCCTTTGTGGGCATTTATTGGGTAATTTTCAGAGCATGGTTTTTATTGGGTAAGAATTATAGGTTAGGGGTATAAAAGGGCAGATTATTTTTTTCCTCTGGACTCTGGGGTCTTACAGAGACAAGAAAGGTGAGGAATTCACTATTGTTTCTGTAGACTGGGCAAACAGAGTTTTAAGTTTCTTAAGTTTTGGTTAGATAATGTTAGGTAGATAATTTTTGTTGTATTTTTACAGGGAACATTATTTAGGGGAATTAAGTTTGGATGAGGGGCAATAGTATAGGTATATTTTATAGGGTTTTCATTTTTTCACAGGATCCTTGTAGGCATTATTATCTTTGTTGTTTAATTAACTTGGTTTATTGTTGATTTCATGATATATATTAGTTGAGTATAAAATAAATTTATTTGATTTGCAAAATCTTGTGTTGGGTTGTCATTATGACTTTAAACCCCTGAATCCTGCGGACCGGAAACAGCATCCTCCTGTTACAATATATTTATAGACGCGCGAACTCATGAGTGTTTGTAAAGTCCAATATAAAACAAGTTGGCAAAATATACAAGATATACGATAAACATCATTCTCAATTATTCGGTGTGATGTACATACACTACTGAGCAAAAATAATCTACATCCATGTTTGATGATGGTTAAAACTGAATCCAAAACGGCTTTTTCGATGTTGATGTATTTGATACCGAG